TAATAACATACAATAATCAATTTGAAATTATCTAATTTAATATATTACATTTTTTTAATTTTTTTCCCATCTTATTTGTAATAATTAATATATTATGTTATTAGGGATTTGTTTCAACTATATTTGAAATATAACAATCGATTAATTTCTCAAGATATCTTTTTTGGTCATTTTACATTCTCATCAGCTAGTTTCGTCAAACATGATTTATTTATCAACTAGCTTATAAACTAAAAGCTAGCTTGCCAAACATAACCGCAACGCCAAAATTTGGAAAAATTATTATATCATAATAGTCGACAAGAAACATAAAAACCGAGATACAATATATATGGGCAACTACTAACAAATTCCACGTTAAAACGACACGGAGAAAATTTTGAGTTGATAAACCAAACGAAACGAGCTCAGTACATCCCACATAGATGTAAGATATGAAGAATATACATAAACAAGCCCAGTACATCCCTGAAAACCCCAAGCTTGCAAAAAAAAATATTATAACGATACAAAACGAGACAAGTAGCAGAGAGGAAACAAACAACAGTTGTCGTTCATACGACAAACGAATCAAATCTCACAACATCACAAAAGGACACCAGGACGAGCGATAACATGATAAAAGTAATAATACAAGAAATCAAAGAAACAACGACAACACACGCACACACACATAAATATTTACTGGTGTATCTAACCAAAGTCGTGCCCGATTTTATCGAGCGAGTGAAAATCTCGTATCAAAGGCTACAACAATTAAATAACAATAGCTGCATCTGTACAATGTCTCGAGACCAAAAGAATACAAATACACTTTGTGAACCTACCTCCTTTTTTTAAGGGATTCGATGGCTGGCTTTATTTCTACTCCACCTTAACCCTGCCTTCTTCGAGCTGTGGTTTCTTGGGTTCGGCAGGAAAGTATTTTATGCCCACCATGTCACCGACTCTACTTATAACCTGATAACACCGCCACTTTGTTGTTACTCAACCGATATCGTAAATGCTATATGTTTCCATAACCTACCTCGTTAGCTGATACCCCCTCTGTCCCAAAATAAGTGTCCCAACATTTCTATTTTAGTTTGTCTCATAACAAGTGTTCACTTTCAAGGGTTGAGTTCCAATGAGAAATGAAGTTATGGTGATAAGCGTAAGAAGAGATTTCTACCCTTGGATCAATCTTAATTGAATGTCAACACTAATGAGCAGAACAATTCCCTTCTGAAATGCAGTTCATGGGTGGGCATGAGGTTAAAAGTGATATGAGTTCAGATCTCTTCTTACGCTTCCCACTATAACTTCCCTTCTCATACGATCCTTTGCCTCACTTTCAAAAGTAAATATTTACTTTCCCATCCTACCCTTAATTATAAGATGGAGAAAATCTCTCTATTATTAAGGGTTTAATTGTCTTTTGGTTAATTAAAAATTGTAATGAATTATATATTCCTAAAATTTTGTGTCGTTTTCATCGTGGATATTTATTTTGTGACCAAGGGAGTAATAATAGATAGTCATGTTTTATAAATAGATAATAAAAAAAACTAGTTGATAAGCTAGAAATGACTTAAAAAGACATTTCGAAAATAAAATTAATTGGATAAAATATATACTGCTTAATTGGAAAAAGAATCCCCTAAAGGCTATGTTTGGCGAACTAAACTTGCTCATAACCTAGTTGTTAGCCGATAAGAGTCTATGTTTGGTAAAAACTAGACGATAAGCTAGATGACAATATAAAATGACCTAAAAAGAGATGTTGAAAAATTAATTGGAAGAATGTAAGAGGCATAATTGGAAAGATGTGGGAAAAGGCCCTTGGAGGCGATGTTTGGCAAACTATTTGTTAGCATCTAAATGAGACTTACAGTTTATTAGGTCAACTATACATGACTATTTGGTAGTGGCTTAATGTATAGAAAGTGGCTTATTCAGTAAGCTTCTAGGAGAGCTTTATTAGAAAGCGAGTTTTTTCCCAAACCTGCCCATCCAAATTAAAAAACACACTCTTTCCATCTATGAAAACCCTCTCAAACAAAAATCTCCATGATCTATACAGACTGATTCCCCATACAGACAACTTTATCCATGCAAAACTTGATGGAAATCCAACAAACAACCCTTAAGTCAGAAATGTTTGGTAAATAATTGGCTCATAAGCTAGATGATAATATAAAATGACCTAAAAGGACATGGTAGAAAAATTAATGGGAAGAATATAAGAGGCAAAATTGGAAGGAAAAAAATAAAAATAAAAATGAAAACAAACCTTGAAGCTTATTGAAACGCCGATTGAAGTAGCTTATGGCAAACCAAACGGGGAATTTTCAATAAGCTTAAAAAATATGCTAGCTTATGGTTGCCACACACATCCAAAGTGTGAAAGAACCTAGTTTGGCAAGATTCTTTTTTTTTCTTTACTTCATGCTTTTGAAGTAAAATAAAATTGTTTTGTGACCCAATAAAGTGTTTGAGTCATTTGGACACCTTTTGAATTTATCAGTTATCAGGTTTAGTGAGAAAAATTGCACAAGTTTTATGTAAAGATAACGTTGTTACCTCTAAGGCTTTGACCATGTCTTCCCGTGAATGAGCAGCAGAA